CCAAAAGCCGACAGAAAGACAGGTAGAGTGTAAGTGTAAATGACATTTGATGACAAATGTCACTTTCAGGTCTTTTCATCGATATGCCTTCAAAAAGTATACAATAAGTATGTGAAGCATATATGTCCCTACATATTGGTTTGAAATCGCGGTGCTTGGATATCTTTGAAAGGAAGTCTGTGATATAAACTGATGTAGAAGAGGCACGCAAATTTCTTCTTATGTGTTGGAATTCATTGAATAAATGCGTTCCGGAAATCCTTTTGATACGGTGGTGGTTTACAATGAAAAGGAACAAATACACTTAGCAGCCTAAAATTCTCGGTGACTTGAACATATATTTCTGATGACTGAATGGATAGCGATACTAGCTGAAACTGTTCAAAGTAGCTTCTCTCCCATATTCAGTCATCACACATCTCTTGAATTACTTTCGCAATCCATGTAGACAGTACCTTCTACAGGTTAATATTTGTTAGTTTTATTCACCACAGATTTTCTCCCCATTCAAATCAATCCGTCACTGAACTGACTGACATCAACTGAAGTTTCAGCGTACAATGTCGTATAACGGTGTATCAGCTGAATTCGGCCCACCTCAGAAAACACACATTGAGTAGGTGAAGAGAAAACTATTCAAAGAAACTCTAACGAACGGAAATGTATGAGAAAGGATAGTTAGACGAAGAATAATCAGAATTGAATGGCTCTTGGAGTAGATGAAGAGTGAATGATTCAAGGTCATATCATCACCAGTCTCAATCCAATGGTTCATTAGGTCCCGCTCTGTCACCAGCAAAGTAGTCTATACCTCCCTACGTGACTGGCTCAAAACAACACCCTTCGTCTAACCTTAGTATCACTTACCATATTGTGTCACTAGACACAGGTGACAGAATGCAAATGCTGTTGGTGAAATGAATATTCCACTTTTTCTCCTTAGTTGCTGTTGATGACGGAATACGTTTATATTAGTTATTTCTTTCTGTACCATATCACACCATTGCTGAACAATGTCTGTGTTCTGCTTACAGATATATTATTCATCCGCTTATATGTATGAATTATTAGAAGAAGTAGAAACCCGCTTTTGCTGTTTAATCATATAAACTGTTCAAATCTAGATAAACTGTAAGTTCGACATTCATAGACAATGATGGGAGCTCGGTAAGTATAACTATGCTCCGTCCAACATACAAGCTTCGTGATAGTCTACGTTCGGTAGCAGTGAGATGGTACAAAATTTGTGAACACTTTCCACTGGAAAATACAGAGGAGCACAAGCTTACCTAGATAATTTGTCTTTCACTTGATTGAAACATCCATCCTCAGCTCACCTTCTATACAACTGACGTTGTTCTATTCAGGTAACAAAACTGGATTATTCATTAAGTCATTCACACCAAATGGATTGGCAGATAAGTCAGGAAAACTGTAAGCAGTTGATCATTGATGATGTAAGAATAAAACTTGTGCACTGTGGTAGAGTGTAATTCCACTATGGGTAAATTTTATTTTGATAAAGTCTCACAGTGTTATACAGTAATGCTTACTGATGACGTTTCGAGCACAATTTATTGCTCATAATCATATCAAGGCAATCACACGACTTCCTAAATTCATTTATATAGTTCCATTGTTTTTCACTTGATTTGATTGGTAGTAATATTTTCCACTACTACCACTACTACTACTACTACTTCTACTATCTTTAAATTTCAAGGCAAAATATATAGACAAACTGAAGGTGTAGCAATAGGATCACCAATATCCCCTATCGTAGCAGATATATTTATGGATAGCTGGGAAAATATGGCTCTTAATACGTTTAATCCTACTCCAAAAATATGGTGGAGATATGTGGATGACACTTTCACAGTGTTAAAAACAGAACATATCTCTAGCTTCTTGACACACATAAACTAGCTAGTGGAGAGAATAAAATTCACATTTGAAGCCGAAAATGAGCAAAGAGAATTAGCTATGTTAGATTGTAAAATAAAACGAATAGAAGAAGGCAAACTACACACTAGTGTTTATAGAAAACCAACGCATTCTAATAGATATTTAGACTTTAATTCATCTCATCCTTTAACTGTTAATGCAGGCTTAGTTAAGTGTTTAACAAACCGAACAATGGCACTAAGTAGCACAAAAAAACACCTAAATGATGAAATAAAACAGATAGAAGAGGCGTTGGTGTTAAATAACTATCCTTTAAAATTCATTAGGAAGATTAGAAAAGGCCAAAATAAAAATAATTGTGAAACTAGTAATAATAATGTAAACAAGAGAGAATATAAGTCATCTACAGTTATACCATATAAAGAGGGGACATCTGAGACCCTACGTAGGATTCTAAATAAAGCAGGAATTAGGGTGGCATTTAAACCTACAAACTCACTCAGGGACAAGCTCTGTAGGTTAAAGGACCCAGTTGTCCCAATTAGACAAAATAATATAATTTACAAAATATCCTGCAATGACTGTGAGGTCAACTACATAGGTCAAACTAGTAGGTCAGGGGTAGTCAGATTGTCAGAACATAAGAATTTAGCTAAGGTAAGAATGATTGACCCAGAGAAGATAAGTAATTTAGAGAAAAGCTCAGCAATTGCAATGCATGCATTAGCACACAACCACACAATAGGGTGGGAGAGGGTTAAAATTCTAAGAAGTAATATAGGTAGGTCGAGAGAGAGGTTGATTACTGAATCCGTGTTCATCGAATCTACACCCAACACATGCAATAGGAATGAATCATCACTCATACCCGAAATATGGAAAATATTACTACCAATCAAATCAAGTGAAAAACAATGGAACTATATAAATGAATTTAGGAAGTCGTGTGATTACCTTGATATGATTATGAGCAATAAATTGTGTTCGAAACGTAAATATTACTGTATAACACTGTGAGACTTTATCAAAATAAAATTTACCCATAGTGGAATTACACTCTACCACAGTGCCCAAGTTTTATTCTTATATCAAGGTCACAAAAGCTATCTGTAATCTGTAACGAGGCAAAGCGGCAGGATTCGACGGAATTATTCCGGAGGTGTTTAAATATGGGGGTGACATACTAGCATATAGGTTAACTAAGGTACTAGGTAACGTCTGGGAATCAGAGACGGTTCCATCAGATTGGGGTAAGTCACTTATTATACCAATGTTCAAGAAGGGGGACAAGTCCTTATGTGATAATCATCGAGGAATCAGCCTGACGAACATAGTCTCTAAAATCCTAGGCTCAGTAATCATGCACAGACTAAGCTGAACTCGGGAGGAACACACGAGGGAAAATCAAGCAGGCTTTAGGCCAGGTAGAGGGTGCATAGATCATATCTTCACTCTCCGACAGATCCTAGAACATAAACACACTTTTAGGCGTCCAACAATTGTCATATTTCTTGACTTGAAGGCGGCCTTCGACTCCGTGGATCGAAAGGTACTATGGCAATGTTTGACTGTGAAGGGAGTGCCAAGAAAGTAGATTGCACTAATCAAGGCACTCTACTCAAACTCACGTAGCCATGTAAGGGCTTATGGGGAATTGTCATCTGAATTGATAACAACCAGTGGTGTCCGTCAAGGATGTCCACTTTCCCCTTTTCTGTTTAACTTCATCATAGATATGCTAATGGAAGTATCCTTAACTGAACTTAACGACTTAGGAATCGACTTGTTACCAGGGAATAGTCTTATGGACTTAGAATATGCAGATGACATAATCCTGTTAGGGGAAGATGCTGACAAAATGCAGAGTCAGAGTCTTCTGAACACCTTGAGCAGCAATCTTCGTATGTTTGGCATGCGATTCGCCCCTGTAAAATGTAAGATGCTGCTACAGGACTGGACTACGTCAACTCCTAGCTTAGTGATAGGGAGTGAAGTGATAGAACATGTTGACCACTTCACCTATTTGGGAAGTTGTATCAGCACCAACGGATTGATTGGTGACGAAATCTCAGCACGGATCCAAAAAGCTCGGGCTGCTTTCGCTAACCTACACCGTCTCTGGCGTAGGCGTGATATCCGGCTATCAACCAAGGGACGTGTGTACTACTCAGCAGTTCGCTCCGTTTTTCTCTGTAGCTCTGAAACATGGCCAATACGAGTTGAATACATGAAAAGGTTGTCTGTTTTTGACCACAGATGTTTACGATCTCTTTCTCGCGTTAGGTGGTATAATAAGGTAAGTAATGTTGATGTTAGGCGTAGAGTGTTGGGCAAAGAGGGAAAATCAATCGAAGGGGCTATAAAGTTACATAGATTGAGATGGCTAGGTCACGTGTTGCGCATGCCTAACCATCGCCTCCCCCGACCGGCATTACTAGCTGATATAGGTGCAGGTTGGAAAAGAGTAAGTGGTGGCCAAACAAAAACATGGCATCAATCCATGAAATCCCTGACAGTTAAACTGAGTCAGGTAGGGAGATGCAGACTTCCGGGTTGGGGCCCACCCTCGGGACTCTAAGAATCAATGGCTGGAGACAATAGGTGACATGGCTCAAAATCGTTGTCAATGGCGCAGATATATTCAGTCCCTGTAATCTTTCATATTCTTTTCCACCGTTACTCATTCTGTTTCACTCTTATACCTGTCAAAACTCTATTGATTCTCTTCACTCATTTTTTGTCTACCTTTGTGTGCTATTTGGAACGTGGCAACTTGAACTGCTGCACTTCGGTGCCAAGGTCTATGTTGAATCCAGCCAGCCAGCCAGCCAGCCATCAACCAAATAACATATCCGATGAGATGTTGTCGATGCGTGTGAAGAAGCCAATCTGTCAACAGAGACCGAGCATTTCAATCCCATAAAAATCAACCAGCGGGAAAATACGAAGTAACCTAAACTAATAAGCATTTTGTTTTAAAAACCAAAGTGAGATAAATTGCAGCCGGGAATTGAAAATCTAAAACAATTTTATGGTTCTATCTGCAAGCAGGAACATGCGTGACAATCTTTCAGGAGACAAAAACAATCGCTTACCTGCTAATTGTACAGACTTTTTCGGTTCATCCAGCGACCAAATAACAATAGAACTATCAATACTTCCAGTTGCTAAGCGACGACCATTTGGACTCCAGCTGATGCAAGTTATTCTAGCTGAGTGTTTTAACCACCATTCAGAAAGAGCAGATTTAAGTGTTGGAAGATCATGCTGATCTCCATCAAAAGTGACCTGGAAATTCAACAAATATATAATACCAGTCATTACTGAGATATCAATACGAAGCGGACAGTACATAGTGTTATAACTAAGATTATAATAGGTAGGTAGTAAAAAATATATGAAATGACCATGTTTGCCATGCGCATCTTGTGTGCTTGCTTATTTTAGATTCTCAATTCAAGACACAAAATTGTTTGTAAACAAGGAGTGCAAGATAGTGTATATTACAGTGCCACTGAAGGTAAACAAATGTGTAATAAAAGGTATCTGTCTGATTGAGTTCCAACATAGAACTTAGCCTCACTCCATGCAGCATACGAAAAGTGTTGGAAAGACAGAAAAAAGAGATTTATAAGAACTATAGTGAGCAGAAATGCACGGGAGAAAGAAAGAAAAGAAACATGGAATGACAAAAGGGTGTAATGGATAGTGGGAGGTCATAAGGAGCAAATCCATCTGAGCCATATCACCATTACTCCCTAGTCATTGGTCTTTAGCATTTCGAGGACACCAGTCTAGCAGCCTAAACCTCTTCACGTAGCTCAAATTAACTGTCATAGACTGATGCCAGGTTTTGGTTTCACCACCACGAATTCTTTTCCAACTAAATCTTGAGTCAGCTACCATCTGTAGTCTAATACCATCACACTCTTCATCTCCACAGACAACAAAGCAAGTATTGATAAGTCGTTTCCTACTATTTGCATTGTGTACTTTAATAACTTCTGAGAAGCCATTGACTGCCAAGCATTCCAATCAGCAAAAGCGATAGCTATTCAGTTCAAACAATCGCAGATGAATATAGATGTAAGACTAACCACTATTATTACTACTCCAACTATGTAGAAATTTCTCACCATATAAGGCCATTCTGTCTAAATATGTCTCTTTATTTTCTCAAACAATTTTTAGATGGCATGTTTTTATACAAACTTTTATCAGTTTATAAAAATAAATACTTAATGCCTTGCAAGCAGCAACATAACAGTGACAGACTAACAGTTAAATAATATCAGTGAATACCTGAAATTTATGAATTCACTGATGAACTATACAATGTAAAGAGTAAACCAGTATTTTTTCAACAAAAAATGTTTTAATCAACACAAACATTCTCCAAATATTATTAGTGATAATTCATCTAAATAAAATATGTCTACCCTAGTGGAGGAATGTGGTAGGCTATTAGAAACAAAATATACTCTCAAGTTAACCACGGTAATAAAACAAAACAAAATAATCGAAGTCACTGCGAAAAATTGGAAAATATGTTAATAGACTGTGTGCAATCTGCATCAGAATACTAAGAATTAAAACATTTAGACTAATGATATATTGGAAATGGTTACAAGTATAGGTGACCAACAATTCAACAATCACATTTGTTCAGTGCTAATCCACATCTGTTGAGTAGATTTGCATTGTGAAGACTAAGCTAGGTGTCGAATATTTGAGTAATATAACTTAAAAGTCAGTTGACTGAATACCGTACCAAACAAAGCCTTCGTACCTGTCGACAATCGTAAGCTAAACATATCTTAAGTAGGTGATATCTCTTAGAGTTGCAAGTTGCTGCTATCTAACATAAGTGTGACATTCGGTAACTGCACTAGTACGACCAGCACAAACATTCGTTACATCCCGTATAGCCAGCTGGGTCATTGTGATATGCAAACCCAAACACCAAGTCATGATAGTAGATAATAAATCGACATTGTTCACAAGATTAGAGCGAAAATGTAGATAAACAACAATAATGATAATTGCAATAATATAATTTACAAGTGGTGAAGATTGGGCGTCTTGAACACTTGGATGGCTTAGACTAACAGCGAAATTTACTCTTGCTACATCGATTGATACTGAATATATTGATTGCTCCAAAAACTTGCTAGTTGTGAAACTGGTTTCGAGCCGCGCTATTGAACTAATTGAAATCTCTGTGTGCAAACCAATGAATCATGGGGAATATTCACGTTTGTTTACCTTAACTATGAGCATTTTACTTATTATTCAGAAAAGTGTTGTGGCATGTGCTACTGTAAGTAGCATACTCTATGTGGTGTCTTCTGCATGAATGGTTAACAGTGGATCGACGGATAAAGTTGCAAAGAGGAGAAATGAAGGATCCTTGTGAAGTAATATAGAAAGAATGAGAGGAAGACAAAAGAAGCACAATACTCAGAACATGTGGAAATAGAAATTTCAATTTTAGGTTTATGCATTTTGCAGCAATCGTACATCACATTTTTCCGGATAAACTTTCCCTTAACAAATAAAATCGTGTTCTATCATTACAATATGAATAAGTTTATCAACCTATACGAAAACTCATGTAAACAAGTGAATAAAGAATTAACTCAGTAACTAGTATTAATAAAACAGATTTGAAAAATGAATACTTACAGAGAACAAATTAACTGAACGATCAGGTTTTGCGATAGCCAATATTTCACCATTCGGTGACAAATCAATAACTTCGGGATTTTCATAAGTAGCATTTACAAGATTTAAGCGTTTCAACTTTTGATTTGATATCTGGAAGGATATATTGCCTTGAGTCTAATTTTGAACAAGAAGAAAGGAAAACAACAACAGTATTAAGAATAAGATTTGATGGGGAATATAAGACAGACGACGGTAACAGGCATATATATATATATATATATATATATATATCAATCTCCATTGCTTCACTAGTCTATCCCAAGCCTAGGAAACCAAGGAAAGTTGGGCGTGTGGCTGGCGAACCTACTTCGGACAAACAATGTAATCACTACAAAAAATTCAAAGCACACTGTGGGGAGTAAGAAGTCAGGAATACTTTGGATCGACAGGAAGACAGCAAAAGATGTGGACTTGGCTGACGACAAATTGCGCATCCAAGGGTGAGACAGAGCAGAGATCGTGTGAGGAAGAAATAGAAGCTTATGGGCGGACGCGTAGCCAGCTAAAAGGAACTATAGAAAACAGGATGAAGTAGAGATGTACCGCTGAAGCCTTATATTCCACTAGAAGCCCAAGGGAAATATGTATATATACCACTGTTAGCATTGCTCTGCATTTTCTGTCGGTAGTATACTGAAAGCGCAGTAAGAGAACTACGCAAAATGTTCAACTGCGAAGTGTTCGGATCACTTGTTCCCCAAGGAACAACTGGTATATTTCAAAATTTCTCGAGGCAAAATGCAACTTTTTAATTACATTCGTTTTGACTGTATGTCGAAATGAAGCAATATAAACTGAAGTTTATTGACCATATTATCGAAAATACAGATGCCTAGAAAACTAGTCTAGAGTAAAGAGAGAAATGTATTCAGATGTTTGGATACAAGTTCACTATTATTATTGTTCCCTTGAGTTCTGAGTGGGTCATAGGGCTTCAGCAGCACATCTTTATTTCGTTCTGTTCTCTGAAATCCTTTTTCAGCTACCATAACAATTGAGCACAAGCTTCCGTTTCTTCCTCACATGATCTCCCCAGTATTACTCACAGACGCCTAGCTTAACTCATCGTTTCCTGTTCGGCCTCTACTCTATGACCTGGTCGATTGTTAATATCATTTGGTAGTAACACTGTATAACTGTACAGCTTTGAAGTATAGGTCTACATTAATTGGTATTTTTCAGTATGTTAGGCATGAAAATGAAATATGCAGAATACCAACCACTCCAGTGAAGTGTAAAAGATCAATCTATGGCAGTAGCAAAAACTGTTATCCAAAACTAACAGAATGTACAAAGTAGTAGAATAATAGAACTGACTATAAAAGCAGTTGAATTCTCATACACTGACGAGCAGATATCATGAAGAAACACATTGATTCACAGAGAAACATTATAAATATAGATCATTGAAAGAATCATAAAATATCGCATAAAAAGTGTCAGCAATACAGTCATAATTATGTTGAATACTAACCATAGGTATATAGAAGTTTCCATTTACGTCCAGTCTTAATCGATTATTACACTTGATCTACTGACGATCCTTTATCCTACTTTATTAATGAGGTGCATTAGTTTAGTCACTCGACTGTCAGCTAGTAGGTTCCGGGTTCTAATCCTCTCTACCTACTTCAGGTTGAACAATCGAATATTATAATCAACTCTAATACAATGAGTGCGGCTTACAGACTTGCATATATCGATGGAGGCAAATCTGGTTAAAATGTATAATTCTCCTTTTATGACCATGCTTGCCTTCAAATTAGCTACTTTCACAAATGTTCCATTTGGTCTCCCACCCAGTTTTATTTCTTCAAATAGAAAAGATCACACTGAATAGAAAATCTACAATAAAACAATCCAATTTTCAGTGAAGTAATGCTACACGAAAACTGATTTACAGATATACGTGCATGGTGTTATATACTACTGACCGATAGTCATGAATAGTTGGACACGACTCACATCAACTAGTAGCACTTGCTAGCCAGTTTGAAGTCATCCGAATTACTGGCTGATGTGAGTGGTGTCCACTACTCATGTCAATTAGTCAGCAGTATATTACGTCATGCGTCTATGTTTGCTTCCTTGATTGCCATTTACGGTACCAAGCAGATCAAATATTGTGATCTGAATAATTTCGGTTTCCAAAGGAAACTGTGGTGGAATTTCACCTCGAAATGTGTAAACTGCGAATCGCGAATGAATTTGCCAATTGCCAATTCCATATATATACGTGCTTATTTTTCCTGTCAAGCGGTTAACAAATCAGAACAAGTCGAATAAGACAAACAAAACACGGGTTCGCCTGATGACGGTGATAAGCACAAAATTGTCTTTAAGAGCTTTTACCTCCTGATGTTGTGAATCATTCAGAAGGTGGCTTTCTAGCATCAATAATACCTACCATATGCTATTCCCATGGGTTACAATAGTGGAGTTTAACAAATACCTTGTTTTCCCTACACTGGCTTCTTTCAGAGAAAAAATTCAAATGTAAGTTAACTGTTATTTCGATTCATTGAATGTAGTGGGATGAATAAAGGACTCCTGGATAAAACTGTTTGTCTTATTATATCACACTAATGTGAACACAATTTCTTTCATTCTTTGCATTCCCAGTGAAACGTAGGGCTGCAGGCTTGAGGCTTCAACACCATACTGACTGACAAAGTGATTTATATATTTATAATGATTCAATAGAATAAATTCTACATCCGAATGCTTATATACATTCCTTCAGAATCAAGTATAGCTAGAATACAGTAGGTGCTGAATACATCATTGGATGAAAAGATGTAAATCCCTACAAGTTACCTGACAAAGTCCTCATACACAAAGCATTACCGAAAATCTTTTCAAAACATAAACACACATAGAAGGAAATTAATCAATTTGTGTTAAGATAAAACATTTATATTAATTAATTATTTACGTGACTATCAATACCCCAACTATTATTATTATTATTATTATTACTATTATCTTTAGACATTGTGGCCGATCGATAAAGATGTGCATATAAGATACCAGATGACGATAAAATGTCAACCAATAAACACACAGTGTACATATATGGACAAGTGAAAATTGGTATTTTACGTCTATAAAAGGTAACCAATAAATTATGATTTCTATTCACATCTTTTTCTGCTTTTACAACAAAAGGTACAAATTTAACATGAACTATACAATTCAATACACACACTTTCAATTTCACCAACTGGAAACCAGAAATATAGACCTATATATATATATATATATATATATATATATATATATATATGAGTCTATAAATAAATAAAAATACCAAATTTGTTTAAGACCATGAAGTCCTTTCACTTTGAGACAAGAAAAGTAATACGACTATCCAGACTAAATAAAACTGATGCTCAAAACGACTGTCAAGAGTAGCTTTAGTTTCAAATGTCTCCCCAACCGAATGTGCTTGGATAACAGGATAATATCGTCAGCATTCACATGTTTAAAGCACCTGATAACCAAATCAGTGAGTAAATCTCAAGTTAGATAATGAATTTACATCGGAACCACTGTACAGCTGTTTCGTCATAGCTTGGGACTCTTCACAGCAAGTATCCATGATCCCACTGTCAGCGATCGAACACTAGACCCTGAAGTTACTAGGCAGACCTATTGATCATTCAGCCACTGGGTTGGAATACAATGACTCTATTCGCAAGCAGTCCCAAACCAGGACGAAACAACTGTTCAGTACTCTCCGATTTTCAGTGGCTCTCTAACTGATGTCAGTTCATGATCTGCAATTCAACACTTGTGTGATGAATAAATCTCTTCTGGGGTAACGAGATGCATAGGTTTGATAATAGCACCCAGCAAACCCATACACTTATGATGGCTTAATTCATCAATTTTAGATCGAGTTATTGATCTCTGCTGCCAAATTGACTTCAATGCAAGTGTGTTTTACACATGAAGAACAATCGTTTACAATTCTTTAAGGTATGTGAACTAAATTAAGTTAGAAAAAGTAAACCAGCCATTTTATTATTAATTCCCTTGCAATTACCGCTTCCTACTATACTCGTGAAAAAAAAGAATTAGGAATACAGTGGATATTTGAAATAGATGCAGTTATTTCATAAAGCGCACAGTGACAGCATTTTTACGATACGACTTTTCAGTAAAGTTCATGATTCACAATTATATCGAGGTATCTATCGCTGTGTGCTTCATCGAATAAACATACCTAATACGCATTTGCCCACTCAATAGATTAAAGAACCTAATACACTTCTAATGTACAAATACGTCTAATCAGTTTCCTCACTATAGATGTCAGGTTGCTAATTGTGGTCCCTATTCAGATACTCATAACAATTCATACAGATAAATATGGCCGATAATATGCCTAAAAGGGCAACACTACTCATTTTAAAAAAAGCCTGCATTCACTTCACTGCCTGTTTGTTCTGATTCTCGTTGTTTTTAATACATGAAAGTGTACGAAGTCCAAACATGAAAGCGAAAGTAAACGACTAATTTATAGAAGATAAGCACAATGATATAAGCGCACATCTTAGGTATTTGGTATGGCATTCGACTTGAAAGCTTTATGACTACTATTCAGCCCTACTATTTCAGCCCTTACGGCAAACTTGAAACGAAATATTACTTGAAATTTACATGTGTTCTTATGTAATGAGCCACATCTGTTGTGTCAAGGTTGGTAATACTACCTTGATTGGAGGAGTGGGTTTAAAACTTGTGACCAAGTGGTTGGAAGTTGAACACTTAAACCAATGAGCCACACCTCCACTATGGCAGCAAATATAGTCAGAGCTCTGTACCTAGTTCAAAGATACTGCTGGTGTTTCACATGCCTATCACAGTTGATAAAGTAGTCTACGCTAAGCACCTTGATAAAAACATTTTTATGAATAGTCAGTTGTAGTTCAAGTAAAACTAACCTGTGATCCAACAACAGCTAGGGACAACTCTTTTGAAAGACTCATTGTAGACAAGCCTAATGAAACTTCCAATTGATCTAATATAATTAATGAATTGTTTCGAAACTCTAGTAAAACCATATGCTCCATACAAGAAACGATAATCAATGAATGTGTTGATGCCATAGTTTGTACACAACGTGGTTGAGATGGAAGTTTAATTGATGTCCTGTGAATGAAAAGAAAAGAAACAACAGGTAACTGAAGCCAAATTAATTTGAGTGACTCATAGTTAAAGCGTATCAGGCCTCAATATTTTCTAAACATACTGAGACGAAAAAGGATTATATTATTATTCAAAACTTTTTTCTCTCGGCCACCCGAAATTGGAAATAACATTCCCTAAATTACAGTGTCTAGGCAGTAACGTCTCGTCTACAGGCAGTAGAGATGAGAGTATCAGAAGTAGGACGTCAAATGCGAGATAGATCCTTATTAATCTGAAATCAGTGTGGAAATCTACTGCACTAAACATAAAGAAAAAGATTCGGCTTTTCAACACTAGTGTCAAGTCAGTTACAGTTCTTCTTTATGCTCCAGAGACTTGGTGTGTCACCAAAAGCATATCCAACGTGTTTCAGGCTTTTACTAAGAGCTCCATACTGCAGATCAGATTGCCGATTAGAAAGGAATAGCAACAAGGAACTCTGGCGGGCAGTCAACCAGCCAAGAACTTATCGTCCAACTAATGTACAGGAAGAAATGGAGATGAATTGCACAAACATGCTGAGACAATTGACACCACGAGGCAGTTTCTAAAATCTAACCTGAATGGCAAACATTGAGTTAGGCGTCTGAAGATGACATGCAGGAGATCGTGTGAGGGACAGATAGAAGCTTATGGGTAATCGTGGAGCCAGCAAAGAAGGACTGCAGAGAACAGGATGAGATGGAGACGTGTTGTTGAATCCCTGTTCCACTGGGAACACAAGGTAATAATAATGAACTACATAATCTTATCATCACTACTAATTTGAAGATAAACAGGAGTCGTTAAGTAATATTTGGTGTTCTGATTGTTTTCTGTTGAGTTTGCGAGATGAAGTATTAATATTTTCGAAATTTCAAACTGGGTACAACATGAACCCCAAAGAACACAGCAAACGGGGTTCGAGTTTTCTACTTCTTTTTTGTATACAGAATTTCTGTATAAATGCTTTGAAATTAGATATATAGGGAGAGAGAAAGAGAGATGGAAACGGTTGTTATAAACATAGCACGAATATTGCTATTTACTGACTCACGTTGCCACTCTTTATAACTACAACTGGAAGAATAAACACAACAGTCACCACTACAATAAACGGTTAGTTGGGGCCAAATTACCCAGCAGCTGGCCAAGAGCCATACTTATTGTATGAAGGCTGACGATACTACCCAGTTGCTTAGGATGAATTAGGTGGAGGGAGACTCGTTCCTTGAGTCCATTGACTGAAAGCCAAGCGCCTAAACTAATGAGCCAAATCTACACAGACCAAAATATAACAAAAGGCTGGTAAGACAAACAAACTTGTGCAATAATGTAACGCGAATGAAGATATGTTGTGAATACGTCTGTACCACCGCAATCGATTCTGTGATACATCTTAGACTTCAGTTGTCTGAAATAAATTTAACAAATACATTTTATTTATAGTTGCTCAGTCTACCTTTTACTACTCTCCACAATTTTACTCGGGCTTTACTTTCACTTTTATTGTCTGTCTGCTGTTTCACAGTGAGGCGAAATGAACGAAAGTATATCGCTAATAGGCTTTGCAAGTGAATACACTATTACATCGGGTAAAATGTAAACAAAATTTTAAACTCACAAGATAAAACATTGACTTACACATGCTTTAGTTCGCTTATTGAACTAGCAACACAACGATCATCGATGCCAACAGTGATTACGCACTTTTCTATGAGAGACATTGACTGTACTTGAGAAGTGTGTGCTTCACTACCCGTAAACATTTCAGCTAAACCACTTGTTAAATCCCAAGAAGCCATTGACCCGTCAGAACTTGCAGTTATCAGACGATTACATACTGTACTAAATTTTGCACAAGTGATATGAAGTTTATGTCCATGTATTGAAAGTACGGGGGGACTGAGAGACTTTGAATCTAGTGGAACATCAAATATGTGAATAGAGCCGCCTAATGAGACAGTAGCAACTTTTTGGCCTACCCAAGTACAACCGAGCTGAAAAATTACAACATATGTATAGTATGGTGATTGACTAAAATTATTATTAAACCAAGTAATCTTTCAAGCACACCATATTATGTAGGAAAATCATAAAGAAAGAAATAACTGTAGTTTTATTTTTAAAATAAGAAACCACATAAAAGAAAAGTAAATTCTACCGAATGTTACCACAATAAGTCACGAACAAACTTGAACGCGAAATTCTACTGTAGGAAAGGCCAATTTATACTTTCCATAAAAATACTACTATATATTAAATACTCCCATAGTAAAATTTAGAACAACACATTTAAGCGAACAATATTGTTTTCAATTAGATCTCATCAGGCTTAACTCTAATATATATAAGTTTACAAATAAAATTCAAATATAAACCAATCATGGTGTTTCGTCTATAGGATAATACGATGGTGAATATAAATAGTGCAATTAGTCATAATAGTAGTAATGATAATAATAATTATAGTAATAATAGAAATGGTCTTATCAATAATAAGGATGAAAAAGTGAGGCAATCTGTGATAACACGAATAATGAAAAACAGCATGATTAAACAAACAACTGTTCAGCTGGAAGTAGTCGATAAAGGCTAGTAAAAACAAATGAACCGATTAAGTAATGTTAGATTGTAAGGGAAGGAAATGAAACACGTTTATAATGAAGATAAGATTAAGGGATGATAAGAAAGGGAATGAAAATAAAAACAAAGGGTGGTGTAGAAGTTATTAGTTGGTTACGTCCTAATAGGCCAAGGGAGGTCTGGCGAGCAGAGCAAGAAAGATATGTACAGATGACCTCTTACAAAAGGAATTTGAATATATTCACGAATCCTTGATGGAGATGGGCTATCCGAGTAATTTCATAAAGAAACATATGAAAACATCGGAGAAAAAACCGGAGACTCTGACGGCACGTAAGAAACCTCTATTTATTAAGTTACAATTTAATGGTGACTTATCAAGTGAGATTCTATTCCAACGACTTTCAAGGAGTATACGAAGAACATTTTACGCAGCACACCTATGTTTGTCATTCTCTAGCCGACGAATGATTGCGACGCAAACGAAGGATAAGCTTGATAGTTTTGCCACATCTATGTGTATTTATCAATTCAACTGCACCTGCGGTGACAGTTATATTGGGCGTACTACTAGACAGCTTAGCCAACGTGTTAGTGAGCATCTCCCATCGTGGTTTGGCAAAGGACAGACAAAAACAATCCGTAGCTCAATTTTGTCACACTTAATTGATAGTGGTCATGTAATTGAGAAAACGAGAGCTTTCAAAGTGATTCATCGTATCCCACCGAATCTTTCCAATAGACTTCGTATTCGTCTACTACACACAGCTGAGGCAATAGGCATTCGAACTATTAAACCTAAATTATGTATTCAAAAAAGTTCGTACAGCCTTTATCCCTCCCTTGGCCTATTAGGACGTAACCAACTAATAACTTCTACACCACCCTTTGTTTTTATTTTCATCCCCTTTCTTATCATCCCTTAATCTTATCTTCATTATAAACGTGTTTCATTTCCTTCCCTTACAATCTAACATTACTTAATCGGTTCATTTGTTTTTACTAGCCTTTATCGACTACTTCCAGCTGAACAGTTGTTTGTTTAATCATGCTGTTTTTCATTATTCGTGTTATCACAGATTGCCTCACTTTTTCATCCTTATTATTGATAAGACCATTTCTATTATTACTATAATTATTATTATCATTACTACTATTATGACTAATTGCACTATTTATATTCACCATCGTATTATCCTATAGACGAAACACCATGATTGGTTTATATTTGAATTTTATTTGTAAACTTATATATATTAGAGTTAAGCCTGATGAGATCTAATTGAAAACAATATTGTTCGCTTAAATGTGTTGTTCTAAATACTACTATAACAAAAATTAGTACATTATGGAAATTTAGAAATGCGTCACAAAAAATTTCGTAGTTTGTGCGAGGAGTGGGATACTGCCTGCACGCTCAGACCGAAGTAGATGTTGGTCTTAAGTGGCTACCCTCAACACCTTTGACTTTAAGTCAGGAGCTACTTCCTCATAGTTTTCAGTAACCTAAGCAGGTTCATGCGCCATTTGATATGTTTCAACTCTGGAGCCCATGTACACGATAGGTTTGGAATCATGGGTAGACCAGCATATCGACTAATAAGACTATTAGCGGCAAACGTTCACGTTAGTCCTTTCATTTTGTGAGGAACACTCCCGCTAGGGACAGCAGCAACAGATTGGAAGGTAATAATAACAAGGAACACACCCATTAATCAAAGAGTTGTCTTAATCCTGTTACCCACTCATCAAAGGTTTTAAGCTTAAACGGACACAAGCTTAGTACAAAATTTAGCATAAACACTAACCCTATCTGGAATGCATACTGACTAGGCTGAGAAGTTCCCGATAAGGTGAAGTACTGGATATCACTGTTATCTGTCACTAAACAAATCACATGACAGTAAAATCCACAGAATTGACGTTACCACACAAGAAAGAATGATGACTAGTTATTAGAATACAAAAGCAAATTAATACTTCGTTAGACAGACAAAAACAATGATGAATTCGTTTGCATGTGAATAACAAACAAGTAATGCGCGCAGAAAAGTGACGTTAAAATCTGGTACAAAATACATTTAGTGACAAAAGACATCTCACTAATACAATCTCTACCTCTAGTTTCTTTTTATACACTGAAACAGGTTTACATCATCCTTCAGCACAATTAAAAGTCGTGCATACTGCCAAAGTATTCGACTTCCAGGTGAATGTTACACTTTTAAGAGTGAAGCCCTTGCATTAAATCGTTCATCTAATCTCTCTAACTACATAACTGCAAGCGCTTTTATTATTTGAACCGCAACGAATGCTCAGTCAGCACAACTAATTCTACAATTCTAGCATTACGATCTGACTCACTCAACACCTATTCTATACCGTTATAGCAGTTCAGACAATGATGGGTACGGATACCAATTGGGGAGACTAAGTTATGTAACCAGCCCATGTCCAAGAACACATTTTAAATAAATCAAAACTTCCACAATATACGTCACGGAACCGCTCTAACAACTTGTACAATACAACAGAAACAACAATGGTGAGGAAATAAAGTTCTACACTAAACAAACCACAAAGGATATCTGGAAAATAATAAAGGTCGTAAGCAATCAAAATTGGACAACCCATTTTGGAGATAATTGGCCCTGGAGTTTCTGTCACAACTCCACCTACCTTCCTTCTTGAAAACATTTAAAAGTCGGATATTAGGAGCTATTACTCGAGCATAAACATTGTGCTCGATCCTTTTAAGTAACATCCTTTCACTGATATGTTATTTCAGTATCATAAAGAAAAAAAACTATCGTAATCAAGGAGATATCACCCAGTTTCATTATGAATTGTCAAATTTCACAAATGAATGACATACATTAGTGCAGCTATATCTGCTGATTGCGAACATGCCTCTCGTACATTTAGCATAAGTTTGTGGAATACAACAGTCAACATACTTTTAAAAGTGATCAGCAGTGCTTTCACACCCTGATTATAGCATAATTATGCAAACCATTTTTAGAGGTGCAACAATGATTCTATCTCTGACAGTATAATATTCATTTGATCATATTTTCTCCGAACAACCCCTAATATCTCTACAATCTCGAAAAGGTGGGATAAGTTCTCTTAGTGAAAGCTTTCACGTGGCTAAGTATACAGAATTTAATGTGGTTAATTCAAACATTTGACAAATTTAGCAATCCATTCTAAGACTGAACGAAAGTAGAAAAAAGTTGTATAGTCCTAATGTTCAGCACTTTGGTGAAAACATGAAGTTTCCATTTAGAGAGGAGATAAATAGACATCATTGTAGGTACGACAGAGGCCTGGAAGACTGCTGAAGAAAAAATAGTGACGATAGTTAATAGCCTGCGACCAAAAGTCATTAAGATATAATGGATTTTTGTGTCTCCATGCGAAATGATCAGTGACAGGAGAATAATCCTGACGCGATCTAAACGTTAAAGCAAAATAATTCGTCCAAGCGTAAGTTGACTAGAAGTCTGTGTCAATAGCGAACAGCGGTCGATAGAGAAAGGAATGTAAAAAACACCAGCAACAGTAAGTACCCGTCAACTGTCTAGGCTCATTAAGGAAACGAGACCTAAGAATGAAAAGAATTCAGTTTTAATGACTTCTCTGAAGAGACAGTTTGAACGTTAAGTAGAACACTATGGGAAAGAGTTCAATAAAGTAAGAGACAAGATTCAGTAAACACTGCTCTGGTACTTATCGAAATTCTCAAGTCATTTATATCCATCACTAAAGTCACGTTTTGACATTACAGTTAGTACTTTAATTTTCATGGCTGGCTACATAGCATCCGAAGAATCGCTGGTGCTTTTAGGCTTTGCCCACTAACGACGGCATAAAGGCTCATAATGATTAACTCCTACAAAACCCAGCTAAGCATCCGTCAATTACAATCATTATATTTCTTGACCTAAAGGCGGCATTCGATTCTGTCGACCGAGAGGTTCTCTGGCGATGCTTGGCTGTAAAGGGAATGCCGAGAAAATACATTGCACTGATTAAGGCACTCTACTCGTACTCATGCAGCCAGGTGAGGGCTTACGGCGAGTTGTCATCTGGAGTGGTGACGACTAGTGGCGTCCGTCAAGGATGCCCATTATCCCCATTTCTATTCAATTTCATCATAGACGTACTAAAGAACTTAACCCTAACTCACTTCAGAGACTCAGGGATTGACTTGCTACCAGGGAAGAATCTCGTCGACTTATAATATGCGAGGACACTGACAAAATGCAGAGTCTTCTGATCACCTTGAGTAGCTATCTTCGTATGTTTGGCATGCGATTCGCCCCTGTAAAATGTAAGATGCTGCTACAGGATTGGACTACACCGACTCCTAGATTAGAAACAGGAAGTGAAGTGGTAAAGCACGTTGACCGCTTCACTTATTTGGGAAGTACCATCAGCCCCAACGGGTTGATCTCTGACGAAATCTCAGTACGAATACAGAGGGCTAGTTTCGCATATGCCAGTTTACGCCGTCTCTGGCGTAGACGCGATATCCGACTATCGACCAAAGGGCGTGTGTACTGCTCAACAGTCCGCTCCGTCCTCCTTTATGGCTGTGAGACCTGGCCATTGAGAGCAGAAGACATGAAAAGATTAGCTGTCTTCGATCATAGGTGTCTGCGTTCTATCTCCCGCGTAAAGTGGTATAATAAGGTGAGCAATATTGAGGTTAGGCGTTGAGTGCTAGGTAAGGAGGGGAAATCAGTCGACGAGACCGTGAAATTACATCGACTGAGATGGTTAGGACATGTGTTACGTATGACTAGTCATCGCCTTCCTCGACGGGCAATGTTAGCTGATATAGGGTCAGGCTGGAAAAGAGCTAGCGCCGGTCAAACCAAAACATGGCACCAGTCAATGAAATCTACAACAGTTAGTCTAAGCCACGTAGGAAGGTGTAGACTTCCTGGTTGGGGTCCTCGGGATGGTAAAAACCAATGGTTGGAAACAATTGGTGATATGGCTCAAAATCGTTCTCAATGGCTGGCGCAGATGCATCCACTCCTTGTGACTTATGATTTCCAATTAAACTGTTTTGTTCTTCGTTATTACTATACCTTTGTCTCACACTTCTGTTTACTGCCTATATTATGCATTTCTCCTACTTTCTCTTGCTTTGTGTGCTACATGGAGGGAGTAAGGCGACTTGAACTGCCGCACATATGTGCAAAGTTCTATGTCGAAAACAGACAGACAGACAGACAATTACAAACTTAAATACAATTTATGTATGCACAACCCTTCGACATGTTAAGCTCATAATCTATGAAAGTGGTGCATAACCGTAGACATAATTTTCTTCGTAGAATGTTAGCCAGCTTTCCATCCATAAAAATGTATTTGAAGTCTTATAACTAGCAAAACAGTAAATGTTCAGACAAACAAAACCAGTGAGAATTTAATAAAGATTAACTTCCCACATTTTTAAAGACTGCAAAGAGAAAGAATGAGTGCTAATAGCTATTTCTGTCCCAATATTCACGGAATTATAACTACAGAGCCTGAAGAATAAGTCGTCGAAAACAATTATTCACTTAGATAATTTTTTTTGTTCTGATACAAGTATTGAAAAACATGTCTGTCAACTACTCTACCTCCGCCACACGTTTCTCAACTGTTTTCTTTATTGAAATCAAATATTCTACTGCGAAATCGTCGTCAAGTACACATTTGAACCCAAGTTGACCAACACCACGAATGCGATCCACATTTCCCTACAGCTGTCTGCCTGGTGAGTCAGTATCCTCGCTATGAAACTATAGTAGCTAAAACACTGGATGGCAAGATGAATTAGCCGACTGATTTGAAGTAGAGAGATGGAAAAACAAAAGGTTTGAAAAAACTGTCTAAAACCGAAAATGACTCGAAGAAACTTACTAGCATATTCGTCAACACATTTTCAAATGAATACTTTGCAAGGCTAGTAAGACATTTATTTTCGACATGCCATAACTTCATGGATTTGTCTGCAGATACTGTGACGCATAGTGGGGCGTCGCGAGAAAAAGATATAGCATAAATTCCACCATCATGAGCAGGGCTTTCCACCTCACCCAATGTCTCACCCGTTTCACCATCATAAGTAAACAGCTACAACAGTATATTTGGGAGGAAACACATTACCTTTCCATCTGCACCACCAGAAACAAAAAATGATCCATCCCATGCATACCGCACTACATTGACAAATCCTTTATGGTTCTAAAACAAAAACGTCAACTTGGAGAAAAAGCCCATTATACTTGAAGAGAATTTTTGAATGTGAATGGAGGACCTTCAAAGAAGGTGACTAAGCCCTCATCGTTTCCTGTGATTGCACGATAAGGTCGCGTAGGTCGAAAATCCACAGAATTAACACTTCTACTCATACCAGTAATAGAACCTACAGATGAACCACTCTCAACAATGAAAACTGCGCCAAATCTAGGCAGGGTAAAAAGTGACCATATACATAAGTATATATTACTTTGAAGCGCCTTTGCCTCCAACTAGAATACGAGCATTATCCGAAGTCCATGCTAAGTCATTTATTTGCCCATTGAACGGTTGATATTCATGCTTCAACACATGCTCCTGGTTAACTGTATCCCAAATGCGCACCTTTCCATTATTGTCTAAATCGTAATTACACTTTCTAATATCTCACCAGCTGATGCTATGTAAAATCCACTAGGTGAATATTTCGCAACATTAACTGCTGCAGAATGCTGAGTGTACATATCATTTTCGGCTGGATTCTGAAGAGTAAAACGAACCAAAAAGCTCAAATTACCTCAATGGAACGTATTACAACACTGTTTCCAGTTGCATATATTAGCTTTTTACCCTTGGGATCTGCGTCAAATATCAGAGATTTACCCCTGACCACTCTAGGAAGAGGTGGAAAGATGTTTTCTATCAATCCTCTTATGGAAAATATAAAGACGAACCTAATGTACACATGGCTAGGCTTTAACAAGCGTGAACGTTATGGAAAATATTCCTTGGTCAAAATCTAGGTTTGTAAGTGGCGACAACCTTGAGGCCTCTAACTGAAGGTCGGGATGCAGTTAGACATCCAATTGCTGTTAATTTTGGGCTGGACTTATCCGGCATGTTGGTTGAAATTTCGCTCGGCAAATTTGTTTTGTCAATAATTTTTAATAAAATTTTGTTATATGTTTTCTGGATTGATAGGAATTCTCATTTCCTGGCTAGTTATGTTGGTGTCCGCGTCATTTAATCTGACTGCGACACACTTAGCATATATGTTGTAATGATTAGTGTTTCATGCTGAATGCGTCAAAACATCTCTACAATGAAGAAGATGGGGTAGTTGGAGGGTAATGTCATCTACACAAATAGTTTATTTCTTGTAGAAGCTGCAGCTTTCGACATAGTGTCATTCAATGAAGACTACGTCAAAATGTGGCTATTTTCGTGTGAAGAACAGTACTATTTTACAAAAGAATGCTATCATTACATGGGAATCACCTATAAATGCCAACAGAACGTAAAACAAATGTGTAAACGAACGGCTACGGAACTGCAATCCAACATAACCGACTAACATGGACGAAAATGACCTTTGAGCGTCTCACTCCATCAATGACCTTGAGCATGCGGGATAATTTCAGCCTTAATTTTGTGATAACCTTATATCAAGGATCGAATATCCATATCAATAGGTAGCATTAACCATTCTTATATTGGTGCACTCACTCCTTGGTTGTCACGTAACAATGGAGTTAATGCAGCGTCGGTTGTGCAATTTGAGTGTCATAGATTTGGTAGGCCCCCAAAAAGGTCGGAGACTGGTTGTAGTTTATGATCTTTGTTAACATCGGAGAGAATGAGGTGACAGCAATTGACAAAAGGTGATTTTTAAGAAGACGAAATAGATGGAAATGAGTGGATGAGTAAACAAATTTAGTTATCAGGGGAGTGAGTCGGGAATAAATACATGCCGCCATCGACACTGTAAGGTAGAATTTAGTTGATAAATCTATGCAGTGTGCGATAGTGATATCTCCATTTATTTGGTGTGACAGTTAGTTATAACCAGCCCATCTGTTGCTGCATGATTATTCAGCCACCAACAGGAAATTTCACTGAAAATATAGTGGCCATGGCAGTCCATTAAGAATTTCAGAGATGGAAACCTTGGTGCAGAATTTCGGTGTACACATGAACTTTGCCCTTTGGTGAGTGATACCTTATGGGTTTCTAAGAGGGTGCATGTTATGACCGGATTGCAGCATCAGCCGTTTTAGACGATTTTAATCATCTATTGTCTTACAGACGACAATTGAATTTCTTCGTATCTGATGATCGCTAAGTGAGGATAAGTTTAGTTCTACAGTCTTTCGTAGTATGGTTTATTCTGAAGACACATAAGCTCTTTTGCCGCTCTACGTTAAACTCCGTGCAAGGACGATGAAGCTACAATGTCGTATACCCCAAATTTGGGGAGGTTTAGTAAGTAAGGGTGCGAGTGCGCCGAACTATCTACTCTTGAAATGCTGCACAGAATATTCCTTGGTCACGTCTTCAGAATAATCCTAATTTTATCTAGGTTATCTGTCAGAAGGAAGTCTAAGTCACGCAGTGATACGAAGCAAAACAATTTATCACCACACAGGTTTTATGTCGTCTGTTGCAGTTATAGTCAGTTGATTCAGCTTGTCATTTTTAACGCCGAGTGACATCCTTCTAGGCCTGAAGTGGCACTATGCTGAGTCTGAAATTTCACTGGGTAGCAAGCCTCCAGCCAATATACATATTTTTATTTACATGCATATGTCGCATATGACGACTCCTTTCTTATGTAGTAAAGATCACAAACGAAAAATATGAAATTTTTCTTTTTCTTTTTTATTACAGCTTGATGCCACACTGTATTTTCAGTACAAGTATGGCATTTTCAGCATGGATATCGGTAGCCCAAATTTTGCAGGCCGACCGTAGATATCGGGTGAGCGTCGGCAGGGGATCGAACCCCGGACCATGTGCATGATCGGCGAGAGTCCTAACCACTGTGCTACCGACGCACCGAAATAGAGTGAAGACTGCATATGTCCACAAGTTTAGGAGATGAACTTCGTTAACAGGACCACCAGTGTAAGAGAATGAAGGGTATTTACGGTTAAGCTATGTGCACTGCATACAAACACAAGTATTTATCACGAGTTCGAGACATATTCCGGAATGAGAATCTTTGCGCGATGATGATTGATCAACTAGGAAGGGATCATGCACAAACGACCAGATGTAAAATGACAGTGTGATGAACGAAAAAGATGCCTGACTGGCTACTCTTGGCTTAAATGTTGGCTTACATAGTGAAGGCCAGCATCCTGTGCTGGATGATGGATTCTGGAGACTGATAATATTGGGGAATTGTCTACCGCTACAGGAAAAATGAAATATAGCCCAACTCCTCATCATCCAGAGCTATGGTAGGTGCATAACAGGACGAACCACACAGAAACCAACTGAGGACTAAGAACCGTCACTTCACTACTGAGACGTGAACTTGTTGCGAGCTCTGCCTAACTCCAATCTATGAGTTATAATACAACCACGTCTTCACGTTCCATAATGTGCTAAACCCTATGAATGACCAAATGCCAACGACAACGCATTAGGAAGAACAAGTGAAAACTTGAGAAAGCCCGTTGTAAGGAGAACCGGACTTTTAAAGCAAATGAAAAAAGCAATAGTGAGTGAACGCTCAAATTATAGGCTGAAGTCGTCCCTCGCGCTTAGGATTACTGGGTGGATAAGCCATCTAAATGTCATCCTCATCCATGCTTGTTAGCCACTTTAGATTGCTGTCAGTTAACCTTTCGTATGCGCACAAACATACCTCATATGTATCAGAGGATTATACATAAATTTCAAAACAATCTCTGAAATATCCACACTGTTGGGACATTATTCTCTCATCAGGATCACTTGTAGTCCATGCAAGTAAGAGACAGATTAACTTCACACCAATTATATTTGCTTTAAAGAAAGTAATGCAAATGTGTAACTTAGAAATCATCCCACAGTCCAAGTAATGCATTGTGAACTTGGTTATGTGAAATTTAGAGAAACCACAGTTGCATATTTAGGAAATTGTACTCATCAAATGTAAGGTACATGGGTTTCTCCTCTAAACAGTGTACATTTATGCGCAGTGTTGAGAAAGCATTGATCATTACTTAAAATTTCATACGATTCACAAACCCATTGTGCTTATGAACATAACGATGACGAATAGTACAGCCTAGACCTTCACTGGTGACACTAATCGGTATCGCTCCATGCGAATAGAAATTCTGGGACTGATTCGTCCCCATTATTCGTGATCAAAACATTAGAGCGTAGACACAAGAAATACAGTGTCAGTGGAAAAGGCGTAAAAGACAGCAGATTGGCAACAATAGAACTCACTAAATTAAATTCCAATAATGAACTGAAATTATGTGCATAAAGCACCATAGGTTACTCACTAATACAAGTTGAACGAGCAATTACCTTTCTCTCTGCACTTGCAACAATCATAAGAACTACCCATATCTGTTAGCTAAGCATTCAACTAAGCAGACAATGGCACAACGTCAGTAATAATTATTGATGTGCCCATTTGTTCCTAGAGGAACATAGGGCTTCAGCAGCATTTCTCCGTTGAGTTTGGTTCTCAACCAGATTTTTTATCTGTCTCTACGTCTGCCCACATGCTTTCATCTCCTTTTCACATGACCTCCTCCGAGTCACTTTTGGACGACCAACTCGCCTCTTCCAAGTCGGGTTCCACTCGAGAGAAAGCCTGGCGTGTGATATCACTTGATGGTTTTCTCACAGGATAGCCAATCCACCTCCACTTGTTCCCTCATGTTTGTTGCACAGCTGGTTCTTGATGGATTCGCCCACTCTCAGAGATATCTATTGCTGATCTTCTCTGGCTATTCGATTTTCAGTGATGAGTGAAAACAGCTGTTGATGAAAGTCTGTAATTTTTTCGAAGTGCTCTTCGTGACGCGCCAAGTCTCTGATCCGTATAGTAGCATCGACTAAACACTGGAGTTGAAGATCCGGATCTTATTTTTTATTTAAATAAAGCAAGAACAACAGTGTTTTGTGCAGAATAAAGTGGTACCATCCTTCGTTTATTTCGTCGGCTTCTCATCAGCTGCTTACAGCCTAAATATATTGTGAGGTTTACGTACAGAAAAGTTTTAACATACTTGCAAATTTTACATGTTGTCAGTTGAGATAAAGTTCCAAAGTAAGTGAACAGTGCTCAGAAAATTGCGCAGCGTAATTGCCTGTGTAATAACTATATAAGCGCAATTTTCTGAGCACTGTTCACTTACTTTGGAACTTTATCTCAACTGACAACATGTAAAATTTGCAAGTATGTTAAAACTTTTCTGTACGTAAACCTCACAATATATTTGGCTGTAAGCAGCCGATGAGAAGCCAACTAAATAAACGAAGGATGGTACCACTTTATTCTGCACAAACCACTATTGTTCTTACTTTATTTAAATTCATCAAGGGGAATAAATGCATGAAGAAACTTACTTTTTATGCTGAGTGCTGCTGACATCCACAGAGACTTCAGAGAAATGTAAGCTTGGCGTGCCTTCCCGATCTTCTTTTTTATATCCCTGTTAGTTCTACCTGTAGCTGAGACGATGCTTCCCAGGTAGGTAAAGGAGATTGCTTCTTTCAGACGTCTATCATTGACGTTGATTGCTCTCTGTCATCTGTTGTTGTTGCTGTTGATCAGGAATTTTCATCAACTCTGTTTTCTCTCTGTTCACCTGAAGTCCTATCTTTGATGCTTCTTCCGCTAACTTGTTGCTATTCAGTTGCATGTCTTCCAGTTTGTGGGATATCAGGCATATATCATCGATGAGGTCTCGATCCTCCAAGTTTTTGTGTAGGTCCATTTTATGACTGTTTCCCCGCTGCCCGCTGTCTGTCACACTATCCAGTCTACCGCAATCAGGAAAATCATTAGAGATATTAGGCAGTCTCAGTAATAATTTATTCCTAGAACAGTAACC